CCCTGGTACTAACTGGAAAAGATGGAACAAAGTCATGGCAAAATCAGGCTTTAGAGAGAGCAAGGCACAAATAGGTGTGGTTTTTTAGATCCTTCCAGTTGTAAAACAGCTTTCAACCTTCTAAAGGACCAGAATCCAATTGCCAAACAACAATGTTAAGTATGAGTAGCAAAAAATAAAAGTACAATGAAGAGACAACCAAAGTATGTTCACAATGACATCACAAAAATGCCCCTACATTTCTGTTCTCCCCTCTGAAACAGCAGAATGTCTTTGTTCTAGTCAAACATACAGTACAAAAAACACTACCTCTCCAAATATTGACAGCAACATGGACACCTGGGATTCTCGACAAGGCACCAAACTTTCCAAGTGAAGCAGTGCAGCTGCTGGATATGCTGGGTGTTCAAGATTAGGCATTTTGATATTTCTGCAGCTAAGTCACCTGAACATGCAGGTCCCTTTTGTGGTTCAGAGACAAGAAATAAAGTGATCTGGAAAATAAAAAGTTTTCATTATCATTTGCTTTCATATGCATAAAAAGAAAATGAACAGGAATTGATAAATAATCTAAACACACTACTAGCTCAGGATAATGGTATAATTATGACAGACTTAAAAGACTTCAGAAAAATTGAACTTAACTGTGTAAGGCATTACACAGACATTTTCACACCAGACAGAATCAAAAAAAATCAAATAAAAAGGGAAAGGCATACAGGATATGACCAAATCAATATAAGAAGGAATTGTCATAGTTTAGTTAACTGGAGAAATACATATTTAGTTCTGATTTTATATGCATTTAAAAGTAGCAAGGGAATAAAATGAGGAAAGTAGATTAGTCACAGATCATCACCTCCATGAACAGGCAATAAACTAGGATTTACAAGTAATAGGGAGGAGGTAGGGCATAAGGAAAGATGAAGATGACAAAATAATAGCTCTTTGGCTGCTAATAGGAACACTCAGAATAGAATCATAGAATCGACCAGGTTGGAAAAGATCTCCAAGATCATCAAGTCCAACCCCTGATCCAACACTGCCGTGGTTACTAGACCGTGGCACTAAGTGCCACATCCAGTTTCATGTTAAAAACCTCCAGGGAAGATGAATCCACCACTTCCCTGGGCAACTCATTCCAATGTCTGCTTACTCTCTCTGTAAAAAATTCTTTCCTAATATTCAACCTAAACCTCCCCTGGTACAGCTTAAGACCATGGCCTCTTGTCCTACTGCTGGTTGCCTTGGAGAAGAGACCAACCCCCACCTGGCTACGACCTCCTTTCAGGGAGTTGTAGAGAGTGATGAGGTCTCCCCTGAGCCTCCTCTTCTCCAGGATGAACAATCCCAGCTCCCTCAGCCTCTCCTCATAGGACTTGTGCTTCAGTCCCTTCACCAGCCTCGTTGCTCTTCTCTGGACCTGCTCCAGCACCTTAATATCCTTCCTGAACTGAGGGGCCTGGAAGAGGTGTGGCCTCACAGTGCTGAGTGCAGGGGAAGAATCACTTTCCTGGACCTGTTGGCCACACTGTTCCTGATCCAGGCCAGGATGCCATTGGCCTTCTTGGCCACCTGGGCACACTGCTGCCTCCTCTTCAGCTTCCTGTCGATCCAAACTCCCAGGTCCCTTTCTGCCTGGCTGCTCTCCAGCCACTCTGTCCCCAGCCTGTAGCACTGCAGGGGGTTGTTGTGGCCAAAGTGCAGGACCCGGCACTTGGCCTTGTTGAACCTCATCCCGTTGGAATCAGACCATCTTCCCAGCTTGTCCAGGTCCCTCTGCAGAGCCCTCCTGCCTTCCAGCAGATCAACACAACCCCCCAGCTCAGTGTCATCTGCAAATTTGCTGATTTGCCCAGCTTAAAAGCAGCAGAGGAATATGAAGAAAACCCAGCTGATGGTAAAGACTGGAAATACTCCTTAAAACAAGTAGGAGCCCAAACCAGTTACATAAGACTAACATTAATTACAGTCTACCTTTTAGACAAGATCTAGACAATGAAAAACAAAGGTCTTGATTGCTGAAACACTGGGAAGGCTGGACTTTAGTGATTGAATATAGAAAAACACCTCAGTCAAAGACACTACTTTGTCTGCACTTCTAAAACTGCTGGAAAGACAGTACATTTATCTGTAGTGATACACACAACATGCAGAGAGAGAACCTCAACAGTAACCTCAACAGCTGGATTCTGACTTTGTCAATCATAATATAACTTGATAATCAAACAGAAAGTTTGGAAATTTCAGTAAGGCAATAAAGGTATTTCATCAGCTGACAGGAATATCTGCATGTTGCCAAGACAAAGATAATAAACAAAGCACTCCAAACACTTCTAAACATAAGTACTTACAGCTAAATATGTTATGCTGGGTATAAGTACAACACCAGAAAAAAGATTAGGTTAGCAGGAGACCAGAAATAGCATGGGAAATGGAAAATAAACTGTTGTGAAGGAAAAAAGAAATAGTGGATTGTAACAACAGGAGAGCTATTGGGATACAAGAAGGTTCATAAAGACATATGTATTTATGGAAGTATTTAATAATAGAGTTCCTTCTGGGGCCAATCTCTGTTAAGTATTTCCATAAATGCATTTGAGGAAAGATTTTTTCTTTTATTTTTACATTTTGCCTTCAGTGTTTTCTTAAGTAAAAGTTGGGACTGTAGAATCATTAACAGAAAAATAAGTGTCATTAATGAGGAAAAGGAAACAAGAATATCTCTGATAACAGAAGTAATGCCCGTGTAATGAAATTCAGTACTTCAAATTATACCTATTTGTAAGTAATCACATCACACCTAACAAGGACTACACTTAGGTATCAAAAAAAAAAAAAAGTGTGAAGTAACTTGAAAAATAAGTTTATTTATAAGTCAATCACATATTATGGAAAATCAAAGTAATGTTGTTTCTCAAACACCCCTGCACAGGACAACCTACACTAAACATATTTCAGCCACTGGATGAAAACCTACGTCGCTCCTGACTATCTGTGTCTTAATCTTCAACGGGATCCCATCCCAGAGCTCACAAAGGAAACTATGTTTAGAGCAACACGTTCACAAAACAACTAATTTAGATTAACTGGCAATGATAGCACAAGGACTAGCATCGGGCAAAGCTTGAATTGAGGGTGTTCTGCCCGGGGAAGGTTGTACATGTGACTCCACCAAGACCAGCAAGGAGCAAAAGGCACTTAGTTTGCAGCTGAGACCAAGTAAGGATGCTAAGAGCACAAGTTATGTTTGCGCTGTTTTACGTAATGGTTCGTTTACATAATTTACGATGACTCCTCTTAATTCACTGGTCCTAAAATACCTGCGCTTGGCAGCCTTTCTGCGCTTTAGGACGGAAGATGAAAGACCTTAAAGAGATCAGCATGGCCCCACGTCCCCTAGGGCCCCACAAGGCCCCCCTCCGGCACAGCCGTGCCCCGGCTGAGGGGGCAGGACGACCCCCGGCCATTACGGAGCGCGGCTCAAGGGCTCCTTGCGCCGCGCGTGTGGGAGGCTGGCGGTCCCCCCAGCCGAGGGGGCGGTTCAGCCCGCGGCGGGTCTCACTCGCGCACCGATTCCCAGGGGGAAAGCAGCAGCAGGAGGAGGAAGGCCGCTCCTTCTCCTTCCCGCCCGCCCGCCCCGGCTCCACTCACCGGCTCCTCACACGCTCCCGCCGTCGCCGCCCGCGCGCACCGCCCCCTCCGGCCCGCGCATGCGCCGCAGCGATCGCGGGTCTGCCTGGGGCGGTGCAGCAAAGGGCGGAGAGGGCGGGACGGGTGTGAGGGGGGTGTGCTGCTTATCCTACGGGGCCATCCCACGGGATATCGTGTCTTATCCGGCAGGGAGAGCCGTGAGGGGAGTCCGCCGCTCCGGGAGGGGGGTCGTCTAGGAGCCCTAGGACTGGGGCAGGGTCTTCTCCTACAGTGAGAGCCGTGAGGGGAGTCCGCTGCTCCCGGACTGCCCCACCCCGTCCGGGAGCTCCAGGGTCGAGGCGGGTTCTTATCGCACCGGGAGAGCCGTCAGGGTGTTGCAAAATGTGGAATATGTAAAATATTCTTGAGGAAGGATGTTCTTTAATCGTTATATACTTTCTCGCTTAATCCTAGGAGGGAGATTTAATCCGTGAAACGGATAGCGGCTAACAAGTGATGTCCGGATGTCTGGGTAGAATTCCCTTGTTAAGGTTTAGACCTTGACATGTTTCAGTGGTCTCAGACGGAGGTGGAGGTTAACAAAGCTTCGGGACAAGAATGGACGACTGGTAGCGGGCACAAAGAATGCAGAATTTGTGGGCCGCAAGGACATTTGGCAGAACTTCTGAGATAAGGAAGAAACTAATAAAGACAATGCAGCAACTGTGCTGAAGTCATCTCCAACTGGGTAAAAGGTAATTCCAGCGAGGGCAGATCGCAAACACCGACTGACGGACCACCAAGCCAAGAAACTCGCGGACCCAAAAGAAAAGAAAGACACAGCATGTGGACTAATTAGCATTGGAAGCAAGACAATCATTAACCAGTATAAGATAGAATGCTAATTAATAAGAGAAATCTGTAACCTTTAGCAAATAAACAATTCCTTTGTTTGCTATAAAGTATAAACAGTAAAAAGTTTTCATAGTTGGGATGCTTGATTTCTGGAATTCCACCAATCACCCAGGTTTTGTGTAACTCTGAAATCAATAATCAGTGTCTCTCCCAAGTGTGTAATTATTGGCTTGCTGCACATTGGGTAACAAATCCGATTTTTGTGCACAAGGGCAGCCTGCCCCAGGGATTTGGGTGGTTACAGAGAGCTTGTTGAGGGAACCAGTCTAGCTGAAATCAAACCAAAAGAAGGCTACTTCAGTAACTGCAGCCTTGCTTCCAAAAGCCTGCTTATTAACTGAGTGGGATCACCACTGTCTCGTTTAGCTTCTAGTCTGGAATTCAAACAAAATACCCAGTAATAATTCTGTTTATTAATCCAAAATGACGCCATTATTATCATGAGGTAAAACTAAAAAAAAAAAGAAAAAATTTTTTCTGTATAGCTTTAATAATCTAAAATTATTAAGAATATCATTATTGATTTAAATGGTGGGACTATAAAACTATGTTTTCACAGAACTGACCTGAAGTAACCCAAAGTTCTGTACTCTTAAATCTGCAAATGCAAAACTATTACAAAAGACTGCTGAACAGTTCTGACAGTTACTTAGGCCTATTCCTACAGAAAGTCTCTGCTTCCCAGTAAAACTGCTTAAACTTAGTAAGTGTGACTTTTTATTTTCATTCAAGAGGCCAAAACTGGTTAGTAGCAGTTGCTAGAGATAGGATTCATGCCTAAATATGTAGCTGGTTATGTGTAGCGTAATAAATTTTAGTTTATATCTTTCATCGACCACAATTTTCATTGATATTGTTACTCAGTATGCATTTATGCAGAGCTTTAAGTTGTTTCTTAATTTATATTAAGCTGTCACATGCCTTTTTATCTTATTCTGACTGTGAGTTGCTCAGATACCAAATATATTCAAAATAAGAAAGCAAATAATAAAATGAGGTTTGAAACCTGCATATAACAGGGCAGGAGATAGTCCTTTCTCACTATGTTTATGGTCAGATATTTTGTATTAATACTTTTTTATCTATGAAACTTATTTTCAGTACAGGTAGTGAATAATTTTCATATAAGTTTTCTTATCCATAGTTCCAGTTCAGCAACAAACTTAAATATAAAATATATGGTCATTTCATTCAAATCACTGGGATTCCTCATTTCTTAAATTTATGTGTTTAAGTGAATTACAGGATTATGTTCTTTAATTTGTATTTGTAGTTCTATATATATATGGATAGAACATGCACGTATTTATCCAGATTCTGTATGTATGTAGAACTATATACAATATGTATATGCAATATGTGCAGTATTTTTTTTATTTCTCTCAGTCTTTTCAAGATACATTTTACCAGTGATGCCATTGTGCAGCATGCTATTGAGGCTGCACCTGTACTATTTTTTAGCAGTCTCTTCCTATTCCAAAAAGTCAATTCCAGCTGACAGAGGTGCAGAAAAGGGCTCTGACAAAGAGCAGGAAGAAATTATTGCTCTTGAAAGATGTTCTCTTGAAAGCATCACTGAGGACATTTAAGAAACGACTGCCACCGTATTTCCAGCCTTCTTGGATGATACAGCTCTTTCAGCAGAGCAAGTGGAAAGGATAGTGTCATTACCTACCTTTACACAAGTCATCCTTTTAACTTAAATTCCCAGGTAAGGATTATTTAAAATATACAGGGGATGATTTTTCTTCCAAGTGGATGGAAAGATCTCAAGTGGTTATTGTGCACACAGTGGTAGATACGCAAACCCTAAATAATGAAAGAGGAAAGATACCTGCAGTAACTTCTAAAATGGTTTCAGCTTCACCTGCTAATGGCTATCCGACACATCCTAAGTAAGGATGGGATTTGAGCCTTGCTGAAGAATAGACACCAAGATGTTTTACTAAATACCAGTGTTGTAACAGAGCAAATAAATATTTTAGGTACAATAATGCAATAAGGAGGAACAGCAAACTCCTTCATGTTTATCCAGATGGAAACTGGCCATTCCAATTGGTATTGGTTTGCAAGTTTGTTGGTTAAAATAATGCATAATTAAATAAATAGTAAAAGAACATTTGAAGGGCAAAAGAATACTGGACTAGATAACTTTGCTCTGTCTGAAGTACACCTTCTGTGCTGCAGGATGTTCTGGGGAAAGTAGCTCTATGCACCAGCTGTAGAAAGGTGGTCAAATGGGTGATGAAGCAGTTTGAACACATTTTAAATGCCCATCAGAAGCCTAACAATTATTACTTAATGTCAGTTGAAGTCATATAGGGGTATATAAATCTCTGTGCCAGCCCACATTGCAGCTGTAACTGCAAAAAGTTATTTGGTGCCTTCAGGGTATCAGCCTCCCTCCTCATTCTCCTGCTATCGAAACAAGGAAGTTTGGGGTAGTTTGGCTGTGTAATAGGAGATTTGGGTGAAAGGACTCTGAGTTACATGAGGAGAATTAGTCCCTGGAGACAATTCTGTGGGCTGTGGATTGCAGGAGTGCAATATATTCCCTTCACATCTTTTGCTGTCTCCTAGTCAGCCCCTGTGTCAGTGCTAAGGGTGACCTGGTACTGCTTGCAGCCAGCAGATGTTCTTTTCCACTGGCAATTCACAGTAGAATCAGAAACTGAGGATCTGATCTGTAACTTCTCATTACGTTTGCTAAAGATAGACAAAGATGAATGTTTAACAATCTAATCGTTAGTGATTATAATCACCAACAGTGGATTTTCAAGGAATTAGTAGTAATTAAGCTCTCATTTATAACTCATTAATATGAAAAACAGTATTTCTATGGATTAAATACTCCCATAGTATCTAATGCAGAGAATTTGCAGACAGAAATATATGATGAACCATCCAGAGTTTGAGATCTCCAAATGAGATTTGATAAAAATATCACCATAGGCAATTACTGCTGAATTTCAGCTGGTTGCTCAGACAAATCTCTTGCACAGTATCAGAACAGTTTACTTAGAATTTAGGCCTCAAGGGAGGCAATCTGTTAAAGGTGAGGGATAGAAAATATCTTTCCTCAAGCTGCCAATAAACAATGTCAATTCATACTGGAGACATCTTAATTTTTAGTTACATTTCCATTAATTCTAGGCACTGTTTATTTTCCAGATTATTTTTCTGGGAAAATTATGTCCTACCACCAACATCCTCGGTTAAATCAGTATATTAACTACTATGCTTATTTCTCTAAGAAGATATGTAGAAGATTGCAGTAACATATATATTCACACAGCGAACATTTTACAAAGGGTGTATCATTTTTGCAAAAAAAACTGCTGAGTTTTGATAAGTTACTTGATATTCTTTCTAAATCAGGAGGCCAAGGGAGATGAATTTCACTAGAGATACATAACGAAAATCTTTTATTTATCATTATATATTCAGATTATGAAAGTCATACCAAAGTGATGCCATTTCTAGCTGAAGTTAGTTCTATCCAGAAATTCTTGGTTTACTTCCTTAAATGCCCGAGCATAGATTGAATTGATTAGGCATCTGAGCTTGGACTTAATGAATTTCTTTAACTGGCATTTGTGTCTGCATTGTAAAAAATGAACTTCTGTTTTTGAGACTGCATCTAACCTGTTAGTGACTTACCATTCCTCTTTCAGAATTCAGTAAAAAGCGAAGGTTTTGTGGCATGCTTGATGTACCCATAAAAATGGGATGATGCAACCAGTCATTGTGATGCAACTTAGCTCACTTCACTGTTTCCTGGAACATGAAAAATGCCAGAGTGATGTGTTATGTACAAAGGCAGAGTTTTTAAGATGTTTGATGGGGTCCTGTGCTGAGCCAAAGCATTGACCTACAGCCAGCCAATGCGCTTTTTAACCGTGAAAACTTAATTTTCAGTTGTAGACCAGTATTTTAATTCTCCCTGTCATGCAGCCCAATGTAGCACTGTCTCAGGTGTTAATCAAAGGCAATTATTATGCTATCTGTATCTATACTATAAACATATGAGTATATACACGTATGTGAGCATGTATGCATGTGCTTATGAGTGAGGAGTTGTTCTGCCCATTAATGCTTGTGATAGTGCAGAGTATTAGAATAGGACACTGGCACTTCTACAAAACATGTTTGGTAAAAGTGTTTTACTTCAGAAAGGACTTGCCAGTCTCTCACTTCTAAGCTGTGCCATGGAAAAAGATGTGGCTATTCAGTGCAGTGACAGCAGGGTAAGGCACCTCAATGATGAAGAAATTAGCCTAAACTAAACATGCAGATCCAGGTTGGGAGAGTAGCTAATGACTAATGTTGCTATATATACATTTCTAATATGCAAAATCTGTAATCCAGACTTCTCCTGGGTCATCTGAACCAAACCCATGGCGTCTGATCTTTACTACTCCAATCCAGATAAGTGCAACTGTGCTGGGGTGAGGTAAGGGCTCCACAACATTGACATGATTTTAACCAGGGTACCCTCATGGGCCATGTACATAGGCACTTTTTAGAGACCCCTTTGTAGGAGGTCAATAACTAATCGATCCCAATTCGGGGGTAGAAACTGGAATCTTTACTGAATACGCACTTCACAATATAAGGCTCTTGGGGGCAGGACATGTTAACGAAGAGGACAGGTTAGGCTAACTAGGGGATGGATTATGCTAACTAGAGGATTACACAATTTTCTGCTACAGTTACAGAAGTGGTTACTATTTTCCCTTAGCTAGGACCGCATGGGGGTAAGAGAACAAAGAGGTTTCTACATGGTCTGATAACATCATCACAAAGTCTTTCCATATCTGCTGAAAGACATCTTTCCATGTCTGGAGGACAATCAACAGAGCTAAATATTAATAGGTCTTGTGATGAAGTGTCCGGTCCTCAGGTGATGGGATTTCTCTCAGCCCCTATTGCCCAAGGCCTGCTGCTCAATCCCATCAAACTCCTTCCTGCTGACAGCTGAGTTTTGGTCCTTACACCCCTTAACTCCTTCAATAATTCCATCATTAATTCTATGTAACTGCATTCCCTCAGTGGTAGGCTTATACAAGAGCTTTCTAGATTCCAGTGTGAATTGAAGTAAACCTGAACTTGTTTTCACTTATATTAAACTCCCTGGAGTGCCAAGAAGGAACTCACACTGCATTTATCTTTGCCCATATCCTGAGGTACCCTGAACAGAGCCTGCTGACAGCCTTGGCTTACAGCTTTACCCCATTTACAGAGTCTCCTGTGCTGGGACATGACATCCTAGAAACTTTAAAGTGTTTTTTTATCTCTCATGAAATTGTCTGTGATGCAGGACTCACATTCTGAGGGAGCATAATCTGTTGGGAGAGTTTTGCTTTCCTTAAATTGAACATATAACTCCTGAAACATTCACTGAGAGGTGATTTTCTTTCATGTAAGTTTGGTATTATTTTGGAAGCGATTGAGTGGGTTGCTGTTTTGTAATCACAGCAATATTATTCCTGTGGGATTTATTTTTTGCTATCTTCCAGTAAATTATGAGAGATAGACCCCAACAGTTTTTTGTCAGTGTAGAACTGAACATTAATTTAATATTTAAAAGGAAAATCAATGAAATATTGAGTCTGCAAGGGAAAGCATCAACTGAGTCATCACATTTGTGGACTAAACTTTAATATCAAATTTTTAATCTAGAAAAGTAAAAAAAGCAGCTAAATTTTGCCCTGATCAGATAGACTACTTACTGAGATTAATAAGAAATCCTATCTACTTCTCAGCTTGAACTTTTCCTTCAGCTTATTTTCCACGACCATGTAGCTGTCCCAGTCTTATGCCAACCTCTCAGCAAAATAAATTTGGCATTTAGATAAGTGCAGAGGAGAGAAATTTCACACTAACAATTTTTAATGCTCCTAATTAATTATTGATTAGTGCTAATGACAGTAGCAAAAAAATTGATTTGCTGTTTGCACTGAGCTGAAATAATTTACTTGTAAAATGAAAGCAATTAACCAGTAAGACTAACAGTGATAATGTATTAATCTCCCATTTCTAATTCACTATATCAATGAAAAGGTGTCTGTTTGTTAAATAAGCAAAGGAAAGCAAGATAGTTTTAGGTGGTATATCTTCCATTGCATTTATCACCACTGTGTTGTGGTTTCTTTCAACTACAGTAAAAAATAGATGATTTGGAGAGAAAAGCTGTACAAACCTTGGTAGATACAGTATTTTTTCTTACAGTACCTTTTGGGTAGCAATAAATGACCACGTAGGACTGACCTCTTTCTTCTTCGTGTCTTTCAGCTACTTTGTCAATATTTATAACAACTGTAGTTTTTCTCAAAGCATTCTAGCACTTAACCTACCCAACCTATACTCAGCTTTTATCTATAGAAAAATCTGCGCTGCCTTTGACAATTTCTGCACTCAGAAATATTTTCTCTTCTCTTTACTTACTAGTATGGTCTGGTAGTCAGACCATCTGGGGTAGAGTGGCCATGAAATGATAGAATTTTCAGTACTTGCTGAAACAAGGAGAGGCACCAACAAAACCTCTACTCTGGACTTTTGGAGGGCAGACTGCAGCCTACTCAAGATGCTGATTTGGAGAGTACCTTGGGAAACAGCCCTTAAAAACAAAGAGGTCCAGGAAGGATTGACATAATTCCAGAAGGACATCTTGAAGGCACAGGAGCAGGCTGTCCCTATGTGCCAAAAGAAGAGCCAGCAGGGAAGGCAACCAGCATGGCTGGGCAGGGAGCTTTTGCAGGAACTCAGGAGGAAAAAAGAGGGGTTTTCACCTTTGGAAAAATGAGCAGGCAACTCAGGAAGTGTTTAAGGATGTCGTTAGGTCATGCAGAAACAAAATTAGAAAGGAGAAAGCTCAATTAGAATTTATTCTGGCCACTTCTGTAAAGGATAATAAAAGGTGTTTTTATAAATACATTAATAGCAAAAGGAGGGGCAAGGAAAACTTTCATTCTTTGTTGGATGTGGAGGGGAATGGAGTTACTAAAGATGAGGAAAAGGCTGAGGTACTTTACGCATTCTTTGCATCAGTTTTCAATAATAAGATGAGTCATCCTCAGGACAACTGGCCTTCTGAGCTGGCAGACAGGGATGGAGAGAAGAATAAGCCCCCTGTAACCCAGGAGAAAGCAGTTAGTGATCCGCTGAGCCACCTAGATGCTCACAAATCTATGGGACCAGATGGGATCTATCCTAGGGTGATGAGGGAGTTGGCAGAAGAGCTTGTTAAGCCACTCTCCATCATTTATAATTGGTCCTGGCTGACCAGGAAGGTCTCAGATGACTGGAGGTTGGCCAATGTGACACCCATCCATAAGAAGGGGTGGAAGGAGGATCCAGGGAACTACAGGTCTGTTAGCCTAACCTTAGTGCCTGTTAAGGTTATGGAACAGATCATCATGATGCACATGCACAGCACATACAGGACAATGAAGGGATCATGCCCTTCACAGAAAGGGTGATTGGGCATTGGAATGGTCTGTCCAGGGAGGTGGTCGAGTCACCATTCCTGGAGGTGTTTAAGAAAAGACTGGATGTGGCACTTAGTGCCATGGTCTGGTTCACAAGATGGTGTTGTTATAGGTTGGACTCAATGATCTCAGAGGTCTTTTCCAACCTAGTTGATTCTGTGATTCTGTGATACCCTCTGCTTGTGACATGCAAACAGTGTTTTTGCTTGTTATTCTTTTAATAGTCAAAACTGAATATTTAAAAATCAGTCCTGAAACCACATGCAGTATTTCACTGACACCACATAGTGAGCATCATATTCCACCCTCAAGCTTCTGTTTTGTATTCCCCATCTGTAGGTCCAGCAGTTGTTGGCCCCTTGGTTTACCTCTTTGTGCGAGAAGTTTGTGATAAACAGGCTATTTATTGGACCATTTGGATGACAAGTATTTGTGCCCTTTTCAGGTTAAGTGAAGGTAGCTCGTCCACCTGTGTCAAAATTACTAAGTTATTTCAGTCTGTCAGCACCCCTTGATGTAAAACAGACTTTGCCCAACTACTGGGACTACTGTTTTGATGACTCTCCTCCATCATCCCCCAGGATCTTTGTATAATATTATTTTATTCCAAGGTATGATCGCATATTTCACAGTTATGACCTATATATTCTGTTCTGATATGTATGTATGAGATTGCAGTTCAAAAAACTAGAAACACATAGACTGGAGACAGATCAGGTTGATCACCAGAATAAACCATAATCATAATATAGCAGAAATCTAATTATTGGTTTTTTTCTTTTCCTTCGTATATATCATAACAAAGGCAGTGTTGAGGAAGGAACTGGAAAGAGAGAGCTCTGCTGGTATTTAAGAAGATGTATAAGAATGTTTTTAAGTGCAGGTGGTGTTGATTGGAAGGACAATGTCGATT